ATTCTGGACGGGCGATTTGAGGGCATGGTCATCTCACGTAGAGGTGATGTGAATTGGTCACCGAGATCGTGCGATTTGAACCCGGTTTTTTTGTGATCTGGAAAACATGACTTGCAATTTTGATTGGTTGCCTAAATGGTTTTCGTCAAAAAGTGTTTCGATTCCGGATGGATTACCATCGTTATCCTCTTGAACGTAATCCCCGTATTCCTCTTTTTGTGCAGTGTCTCCAATCCTCATTATGTAATTCAATAATCAGATCATCCACGATGGGACAGTACAGCCCCAATCAATTCATTTGGATTCAAATCCGAGTGATACGAGGTCAGGCTATTAAATAACGTGATTGCGCACCTAAAGGGCGCCCTAGAAGGGGTGGGGAAAACGAGTAGTGCCTTGGGTATCTGGAAATATTCTCTATTCACGTACCATAACACGTTTTCGTCACTATTATAGTACTTGTGCAGTAGCGGTTTGAAATGGTACCGAAACCCATGTGTGACGAAAAACAGAAGGAACTTATCAATCTCAAATTTTTTGTTGAATTGAAAAAAAACTCCGACTGAGTGATATAAATTGTTGCAAGAGGCCTATGGGACAATTCTCTATTTAGTGCGCGTATTTTTGAGGGGTGTAAGCGCTTCAGTGAGGGCTGAAAGAGCAAGGATGCCCAAATCAAAATTCAAGGCAATGTTGATCGTTTTTTCGACATTAACGGTATTGTGATGACTGAATAGGTTCCTGAAGAACAACTCTTGGATTTTGAACCAGGACAACGTACCTGCCCATAACGCGCTAGAGAAGCAGTATTTGGCCGATAAATGCACTCCAGTGCTCGAACACGCGACGTACTCGCCAGCTTTGGCACCGTGCGACTTTTTTTTTGTTTCCGAAAATAAAATCTGCTTTGAAAGGGTACGATTTGAGTCGATTGAAGCGGTAAAGCAAAAAACGGCAGAGCTCCTGAAGGCCCTTACCTAAGAAAACGTCCAGCATTGCTTCGATCAATGTGAAATATTTTTTAATATAGAACACTTTTTCGTAACCGGTCTCGTTACTTAATAGCCGGACCTTGTATGTCAATAATCATACAACGTTATAACTTGCTGATCTATTCCATACCACTTGAATTTCAGCTTGAAGTTATTCATGAGGGCATATAATACAGGTTTCAGCATGTTTCGGCAAGGAACATTCCTCTCTAATAACCATAATTGCATATCGACTTATTTGGTCGATGTCGTTGGCATTTTGTTTTTTTATTATGATATGGTGCATTATCCATCGCTATTTCAATTTGATTTCCATCTAATGTAAACATTCCACCACCCGCATGTAATATGATCAGCCGTTGCTCTTTACTGACCAGTTATTTCAGACGTTCCATAGTATAGCATGAATATGTTTCATTATAATAAATAATAGATTGACAATCTTCTCTATAGGACCGCAGTTTCTTCAAGAACTCTATCCTAAGTAGTCGAATGAGCTGGCATTTCATCAATCATTTCCTGTTATTATTCACCTTGTTCAGTATCAAAATCTTACTATCGAAATTATTATGTTTTTTAAGTGAATCTTAATTCTTTAGCCAGCTCCAAAATGTGTACGACAAAACAGACTGTTTTATGGCATTATTTTTATTTTATGTATTGTTAACCAATCTTGTTTAAGTTATTTNAATTCGAAGACATTCTTAAAAACAATAAATAACTCATAGTTTACCACATAGAATAATTTATCCACTTACTGTACTAACATGATGTCACTGCACGAGTTTCTCGATGATAGTGAGCTCTCGCCCCACTCCGTCGGATGATCTACTGTGCATCTAGAAGCACAGTTGGATTCGCCAATCTGTACACTTTTTTCTTAATTAACGAATAAATATTTTTTTGAACATAACACTGCATAAATCACACGAGTTACAATCGCTCAACTCAATTTGGTATCTAATACGTATTGAGTTTAAGGTACTCTGCATTAATCCATTCAAATGCGTTTTCTCTCAATGAGCATCCATTTAGTGAATGTCCTTTGTCTATGAAATATACGAAGGTCCGTCCAATTCATCAATCGGCTGATTGCAATGCATTTCGAATCGCCAGGATCCACAGTTACAAATAGCTTCGGAAATTTTAATCATTCCTGCAAATTGATATTTAATCGTGGATGAGCGTTGGAAACGTTTCATGTAAAACTAGTTTTCATTAAAGTAATGGAGTTTATTCTTGTAGAAGTTCTGATTTGTCGACAAGCGATAAATCGATGTTATATAGTTTGCAGAGGGAAGAGGGATGAGCTCCGAATCACAAGAGAGTAGGAAAAGCGTACTTTCAGGAACACCCCTTTAGTATTTGTAATATAATTATATTTTTGAGCAATAAAAAAGCGGCGAGTGCTGAAGTTGCAGTTTCTGTTTGGAATTTTAGATAGGGGGAAAAGTACAAGATAAAAATTTTTGAAGAAATATTCTGCGTGGTTTTGAACCTGAAATGTAACCAGAAGAGGAGTTCATAGTGTATGCGATCGAACGCCTTAGAATAGTCCAATTATATCAATAGACCTGTGCACATCATCCACAACTTTCAGGAGGGCAGTCGTACAACTGTGGTCAGGTTTAAACCCTGACTGACACTCAGGTAATATATCGAAGTCATTCAGATAATTATCTGATGCGTGATTATAATCACGCATCTGCGTTCAATATTTTTTCCAAAACCTTTTGATAGCCCACATAAAATGCTAATTGGCCGGGAATCGCCTAAACTTTTGGGGTTAGAATTTTTGGCCAACGGAAGAACATTTGCTTGCTTCCAGATGGATGGATATGCAGTGATTGAATAAGTGAGTGATATGTGGAAGGATTGTACAAATATTTCACAATAATAATCAACTACATACATAAAGTGCTAATAATGTTAATTACCTAATTAGCATGTAATAATCCATCATAGGTTCACTATTGCTTCAATGTATCCGCCTTTCTTTACTATACAGGTTTCTAATTATATTTGGAATTATACCCTGAATTATTTCCATAATAATTGTGTCCAAATGTTATACGTTTGTGAATGGCCTGTGTTCGAAAAAAATCCAGGAGAAAAATCAAATGGGGTTAAATCTGGTGACCAAGCTGGCCACAAAATATCGGTATATCTATGAAATAACCTTTCATTGAAGATATTTTTGAAGTAGGGTTTACTGTCACCGGACTGTGTTGCCTCGTCCTGGTGGTACTATACCTGTTGTCGTGCATGCTTTGGAAGACCACGAAGAAAATCATGCAATTGATTTTGTAAAAAAAATGATATTTTTGACAAGTCAAAGATTGTTGAAAAAAAGTGCCAATTATTTAATACTTGTAGATGCTGCACCAAACGCTAGTTTCAAAATGATATTGATCGCGAGTTTAAATCGTAAAATGAGGATTGAAATAAGTACACCATCAAAAATGTTGATATAATTCGAACTCACTTTACATGTATTTCTTCATTTGAAAAAAGGATTTTTTTCAACACGCTTTTATTAGCTTCAACTGTATGTATGTATGTTTGTTTGTTTGTAACTCTCAAGCTCGGGATCTGTATTTGACAGAATTATCGACATTATTGCTTGATATATTCGCGGACAGATGGCGCTGTACGCAACCTCCTTGATATAATTCGAACTCACTCCACATGTATTTCTTCATTTGAAAAAGGGATTTTTGTTAACACTCTTTTATTAGCTTCACCTGTATGTAGGAGAAGGGAATAGTGGCCACTGCGGGTAAAGTTGCCACTTGAAGTTTTCTTCACTGTATAGTGCTGCAGCTTTGCGGCAATAGTCACAACTACTCGCCCGGCAGCCGTTGTTATTGTGTTGTAGTTTGGTGCCGCTCAGACGCAAGCTCACCGAGATATCGCAAATTTTCCACTTTTTCGACCCTCTGATGTTAGGAAAGTGCATCACATGTTTCGCTTTATTTTATTGTAGGCCTAGGTGAAGTAAATTGTACATCAATCGTGCAAAACAACATGTTTCTAGCTTTGAATTCATATGTCTCAACAATAGGTGCTACAACGGGTTGTACGTGAAATATTGTATTTAGAAAATGGCGTGCTAGACGGCTGTGGCCACTTTGCCCGCGAATGTGTCCACTTTGCCCGCAATGTATGTTGCATAAAACTGAATTTTTGAAACTGCATTCATCACAAACAAAACTAAGTAGGCTTATAATATCAAGAGCAAGATTACGACAAACTTCAGTTATTCTAGTTCCGTGGTTTTTTTTACAGAAGAAGAACAGTATGGTGTCCAAGTTTAAAAGGAAAACCGCTCAGCAGTCCTGGAACTCTGAAGCTATGCAAAAGGCCATTGATGCAGTGAAGGAGGACGGGTTGCCTTGGCAAACCGCAGCTAAAAGGTTCCAGATACCTCGAAATACTTTAAAACGGCGTGCACTCGACAAAAATGTTCAAGCAGTAAACACAAAAAAGGGTCTTGGTCACTTTCGGCCCATATTTACTGAGGAGCAGGAAAAAGAAATAGTTAACAATCTTTTGGACATGGAAGTCCGTTTTTTTGGTGTAACAGTCGCTGATCTACAGGCTCTTGCCTACAAACTCGCTGTTAAAAATTGCATACCTCATAACTTTAGTCATGAAAAAAAAGCTGCTGGGAAAGATTGGGTACAGGGATTTAAAAAACGCCACCCTATGATTGCTTGACGGAAGCCTGAGGCGACTTCAGCTGCACGGGCTCAAGCGTTTAACAAAACTAATGTATCAAAGTTTTTTGACATTTTGGAAGGCATTCAGAAAGATTACGTATTCCCACCTCATAGGGTGTACAATGTTGATGAGACTGTACTTCTAACAGTCCAGTACAAGTCGTCCACGGTCTTTGCTCTAAAAGGTCGGCGACAAGTCGTCTCTTTAACATCTGCTGAACGAGGCGTTCTTTCAACTTTTGTAGTCTGTGTTTCAGCTGGAGGGACATTTCTATCAAGGCGTAGAATGAAAGTTGAACTGCAAGATGGTGCACCTCCTGGAACAGCTTTTGCATGTCATCCTACTGGTTGGATGCAAATGGAATTATTCACCTCATGGTTTGACCACTTCTTAAAATTTTCAAAGCCAACAAAAGACGACCCGATTCTTCTGATACTAGACGGTCATGCAACTCGCACGAACAACTTAGATTCCATCGAAAAAGTCAGAGACAATTATGTCACTGTTTTGTGCATTCCCCCCCAATGCTGTCAAAAAATGCAGCCACTTGACGTTGCGTTTATGGCACCTTTCAATACGTATTTTATACAAAGTATTGAAAAGTTCTTAAGAAATAATCCAGGACGGACAGTGGCCCAATTCCAGGTTTCCCGGCTACTCGGTGAAGCGTTTTTGAAGGCAGTTACACCAGTTATCGCCATAAAAGGCTTTAGAAAGTGTGGAATCGTCCCAATCGACAGAAATGTGCTTACAGAACTGGATTATGCAGCTGCTGAAACAACAGAAATAACTCTACAAGAAGACCCTGCGCCAGGAGAAGAGAACAACATCATACAAGTTTGTGCATCTTCATCTCAGACTGTCAACAACAGTAACTCAACAGAACTCATTGGTGGTTCTGAAAACCCCAATACCGCCTTCATAATGGTATCCCTACCTTCTGTTGATCATCCAATCAGCTCTAACAGTGGACTTCCTTCTGCCACATTTGATCCGTCTATTCCCAGCACTTCATCAGCTGGTTCCCTAGAAACAACTTCAAATTTGAACAGTCCACCAAACAAGAAGTCCACTTCATTTGCTGTAAGTCCACGTGAAATTGTTCCTGTACCCAAGGTCAATAGGATTATCAAAAGAGAAACTAAGCGGAAGAAAGGAGCAGCAACAGTTCTAACATCCAGTCCATATAAGGCCACTCTTATGGCAATTGGGAAAGAAAAAGAAGATAAAGAGAATACGAAACAACGTAGACTAGAAACAAAAAAAGAAAGGGAAATCGAAAGAAAACAGCAGGCTCCTAAGAAAAGGGTGGCTAAAATTGAAAATAAAGGAAAACGCGCATTATTTAAGAAAAAGAATGACGATCTCTTTAATGATGATGATGAAGGCAACGTCAGCGACGTCGATTGTTTATTCTGTGGTGATTGTTACTCGAAATCCAAGGACAACGAAGGCTGGATTAGATGTTCTGGGTGCCTCAAATGGGCTCACGAAGCCTGCACAGGAGCCGAAGAGAAGGACGATGAGTTTATTTGTGATTTATGTAAATACCAGTGATTTCATAGTTTCACATACTTTCAGTAATGCCTATTTTTGTTCAAAACCCTAATACAATCGTTTTGAGTTCTGAAACTAAATGCGTTTTATTTTTTCCATACTACCTAAATCTATTTAGACAGTGACCACTTTGCCCTACCTAGTGGCCTAAAGTGGCCACTTTAACAACTTTTGGTAAAGTCAAAATTCTGTTCAAATAAGTTTAAAAATCAAGTCGTTTTTATTTTTGGATCAGACCTAAGTAACCATACTAAATGTTGAATTTGAAAAAAATATTTTTAGCTTTTCAGTTCGATGTTCTTTAAAAAGTGTTTTTTAGTTTTTTTAAAATATATTTATTTTTCTTCCTTTGTAGATAACTTTGCATTTAACTTCATCTCTTCACTTGCAACAAGTTTTCGACGTTTTTGTGAATTAATCATTACCATCGCCACATTTTATTTCAATTTTCACATAATTCTCATTACTAGACTACGGCGTATATATTTCTCTGGATATCTGTTGTTGATTATTTCAGCTGCTTTACGATAACTTTTATAATTATCACTAACAATTTCCACAATTTATACTTTTTCTTCTACACTAAATATCACCGGTGCGGCGTGTTGAAATATTTTATTTCACGTTCACTGTCAAACAATTTTTGCTATCAAGAAATAATTTCTTTATCAGTGTATCCTAGATTTCACGTAACTACAGTTTCATTTGCATTGTCATTTTAGATAAAAAAGAAAAAAGGTTTTTTACATGTAGTTGGATATAATTACGTATTTGAACATTGTTTTTAGTTCTGATAAACTTTTCTCAATAACAATTTTCGATATTGTCATAAATAAAGGTTCTCTTTAGCCAAATTCATACTTTTTGAGGAACCGCGTATACGACTGGAAAAAATTGATATCTGATGGTTGCATTTCAGGTTTAAGACCATGCAGAACTTTTTATAAACATAACTTTTTTTCGTAAAATTAATATTAAAGAAGTTTTCCATATGGTGCGAACTTAAGCAGGCACACTGTATAACTCTTTCAAACCTGAAAATGTCGATGAAGCTTGTGAACAAGTTGATGAAGACATGAATGTTTCAGTGAAAACTGCAACTGTATATAGTCCAGTAATAAACCAAGTGAGACTGATGTTCTAGTTTTTGGACCCATGAAAATAGTAGTCAATCATAAGTGTATTGTAGAAGTGAAAATTCTGGGTATCATTCTCCAAAGTAATTTCAGTTCCGAAAATAACTTCTTCAAATACTTATGAAACTCCCGAAATCATTTATGAAAATAGAAAATTTCTCAAAAAAACTACGAAAATAATTATCTGTGATAGTCAGGTTTCGTCTATCCTAAACTTTGCTGATTCAGTGTAGTGTCCTTGCACACCAAAAACATTCGAGGAATAAATACTTAAGATACAGCTCCTCAAATCTAGGAGAGTAGACAATTCTTACAAGCTGCGCGTTCCTGAGAAAGGATGAAAGAGGATGGAAACTAGTGTTTGTGAAGAAGTGCAATCTCCACCATAAGCAATCACATGAATCGATTATTTTCATTTGCTAGATATAATGGGTCTTCCAACAGAAACTTCCGAACTTTGACAATTGATAACGGCCATCTTGTTGAAGCAACATCTGTCAAATTAGTTGTCACTTATTCGGTCTGTTTTTTGCCAAATCACCGTGGACGGATATAGCATTCAAAAATCGTTTCACCAAAATGGGTGTTCTGTTCGGGCAACGCGCGACATGGATCAATGTCAATGCTGACTTGCTGAATCGACATCCGGCGATACGCAGTCTTTAAAGCGACGACACAAAAACGTTTCATTTCCTTTGTTTATTCTCAACCTATTTCATCACCTATTTTCTTATAAATACAGTCCATCGTGGCGAAATGGGTTACATTAGAATCGCATTCAAGTTACAAGTTTGATACTTTTGTATTCACATTACCTTATATTATAGTGTTCATTCTGCAACTGAAGGGAACATAGTATCGTTTTTTCCTTTCAAAATAAATATTTTTTTAAAAACTTATATTTCCAAAGTGAGATATAACATGCCTATACTAATTCGATAGGTTTTGGATCGGGATTATGAGAAGGCGATGTGTTCATGATTTTTCATCGTCGATAATTTCAATTGTCGTCTGTAGATTCTTATTATAAATTACAGGAGAATTGAGAATGCACCTTTTTTGCAACAACTTGTAATTTTTGTAATTCAAGTCACGGCACAGTTTCGTAATTCAGTAAATGATATGAGTTTTATCCAACAGTTTTATACACATTCACTTTCTTCTCAGTCTTTGTTCTTTTGAAATTGATGTATGTAACTTTTTGAACGCATGTAGCATAAATAGATAAAGGTTTCATTCAAATGACCTTCTTCTCTATATTTCCATCTTTATATTCATATCTATCAAAAATTATCTCTTTAGTGCTACTGGATTTCTGATTTTGCCATGACTCATTCTCTATCATTTTTGCTCTTCTCCATACAACTCCAATTTCTTCAATAACTCGTGAGATCCTTTATAATCATATTAGTTAAAAAAAAAATTATTTCCAAAATTGAACATGCGAAAAATTTTTTTCATGTCATTTGGAAACCAATCTATAACAGATACCCTGTATCTGATGTATAATAGTTGGCTGAAATGTGTATAACACATTGACATACCCTGAAATATAACATATGGGTAATTATAGTCATATGACCACTATTTTGTAATTTTCTGAGAGAGAGCTTTTTTTGGCCACCCTGTATTTCGCTCTGTTATGAATTTCATACCAAATTAGAAAACGAAAATTCCATTCAACTTGAATTGAAATACCTGAAAGAATTGAATTCGTATGAGCAGAGAGGGACCTGCATAACTTAATTAATTCCTGGAATACCTGTGCAAAGAAGAATTGAATAACGTTTTCGAACACGCTACAACGATCCCTTCCAATTTATTTCCTTCAAACAGACACGTGTCTGTCTTGTAGAGCAATCAATTATAGGCATGTAAAACAATTGCGATGTAACTATAGTGATATTCCGGTAAACACGAGTATTGCTGTATTTTTTTAATTCTAACTTTGAGCTGCCGGAATGGGGACACATGTTTTTATATTTTTAGTGAAATTAACAATGGTATTCCTTTTACGCAGTGGAAGATCTATAGTTATTTTCAAAAGAAGGCATGCTCAAGAAACAAAAACCAATATTTTTGGGTTTCTTTGCGATCATCTTCCCTCAATGCAAAATAGTTCAGTCATCTTAGTATGTTTACCTCAAAATTTGAGATAAGGAGACAAATGTCGTCTTCAGCGAGATTTTTCTCCACGTCTACCATGATTTTAGGTCAAACGTTCTGTCTTCATTGACATCACTGTGACGATCACTGATCACTGACATCACTGTGATGTAAGCTTGCTCATTACACCGGCCACAAGCTAGAGAGCATTGCAACCCCGATTTCCTGCATCCACATCGCGAACCACAACCACTCTGGCAGTTGCAGAATATTGTGTTGAGTAATTGCTCTGCAGAAGGTGCTAAAATTGTCGTAATAACTTCCAGGAATTCATTACGCATTGTCCAACCCCTTTCCTGGGGTTCCAAATCATGCCCTAACCAAGTTTGAACTCGATATTAAACACGATTGAAATGTTGGTGGCTGTTGCACTTGTTGGTGGAATTTTTGATAACTGCACAGGTTTATTCAGTTTTATAAACTTGACGTATTGTGCATAACGAAGATGATCGATATTGTCCACAGATTTTGGAGCATATAGACTGCCTACAAGATCTTAATTGTATTCTCAAATAATCTTTGAACCGGACAGTTTTCTTCTTCAAATGTTGCTGCAAATTTATCCCAATTCGGGCATTTTCCCAAATCTGTGTCATTGCTTTTCGAGTTTGAAAGCCGTGGATTATTGGAATTTCTTCCTGTTGAAATTCTCCGTGTGTTTGTGGATCTCTATTGCCTCTCGTACCAGTCGGTTATAGTATCCCTGATTGGGGGCAATTAGTTCTGTATTTTCAAACAAGATTCTGTGGTCTCCTTCACTAAATGCGTGTTCTGCCACAGCTGACTTGTACGTTTGGCCTAGTCTGCAGTTCCTTTCATGTTCTTTTAGTCCTGTTCCCATGGATCGTTTGGTGGTTCCGATATATATTTCCACAAGTGTACGGTATACGATAGACCCCTGCTGCTGATAATGGGTCTCTTTTGTCTTTAGCCGACCTGAGGCTTTGTTGTATCTTCCTCGTGGGTTTGAAGACTGTTTCGATGTCGTGTTTGCCCAATAGTTTTCAATTATGTCCGTGACCCTATGGATAAACGGTAGATATGCGCGTGCAACCATCTGATCGTTTCTCGCTTTCTGAAATGGACAGCAGGCAGGAAGATTGTTAATGTTCTAGGTTCAAGTGTAGGTACGAGTACAGGTACAAGTGCAGGTACAAGTACAGGTTCAAATACAATTACAAATACAACTGATTACCTGACAAGGCATAAGTACGCTTTTGAAGCCTAATAGGTAGTCATCGGACATCAAGCCATGATGGTTAAACCTCTGAGGAAGCTAGCCACTCACGCCAGCGAAACGTCAGGAAGAAATCCACGGCTTTCAAACTCGAAAAGCAATGAAACTGAAAACCTCAGCCGTGAAAGTCTAATCCATTTTGTCAGTTTCCCAAATGTTTTTAAAAACATTCTTCTTTTTTTTAAAAGCGCAGAAGTCGTATAACAGCGACTCAATGCTTACAGAAACAAAACGTGTTTTTTTGAACGAGGATACTTATCAAAACTTTTGGAAGAGTATACTTTCTTTTTCACATTTCCTTTACCGTACGTTTCAAAGAAAATTTCTCTTGATGAGATAGTATAGTCTCAATTGAAATGATATCTATACCTTCAACTATTATAACTGCAAAAAAAATTATTAAATATAATGTAATGTTGATGAGAAATAAAAATTATTATAATTTAGGTATTCATCAATAA